TTTCCATCAAACCCAGATGGCGCAACAGCTTTGCTTTCCTAGTGCCTGGCGGAGAGCACTACTTAGATAAAGGCAGGAGCTGGCAGAAGTTTAGTTTGGACATAAGGGAGGCACTGATAGTGTGTTAAGGGACAGTGGGGTGATTGTCCTTCCTATCCTTCTTTCATTTAAGAAGTTTTCAATTTGGGATGCTGCTGGATCCTCAAGGACACCTGGAAGTACAGGTGGCACCAGGGGCCCAAAGTATCATTTCACAACTGCATCTGTTTAACAGATGCAGTTGTACAATTTTAGACAGGTAAGGGGGGTGTCGGAGGAGATGGGGAGAATGTAGGGGCCCCAGGTGGGGGGTGGGGGGAGGAGTCACATGGAGGGTCACATGGGGAGGTCACGTGCCCTCCCTTGTGTCCTTTCCATGAGTGCAGTACTGGCAAGAAATGATTTCTACTTGCACCACTGAATAGATGTACCCCATCTCCAAGCAACAGTGAGGTGTTAGAACTTGTAATGTCTCTATGCCATACTGTATACATTTTCTGGTCAGTCATGAACCCTCCAATTTCCCAATTAATGTTCTTCCAACATTTAATAGCCTTCTACTATCACTGTAGAAATTACACTGCTACCTCGATATAATGCGACCCGATATAACCTGAATTTGGATATAACGCGGTAAAGCAGTGCTCCGGGGGGGTGGGGCTGCGCACTCCGGTGGAGCAAAGCAAGTTCAATGTAACGCGGTTTCACCTATAACGCAGTAAGATTTTTTGGCTCCCGAGGACAGCGTTATATTGGGGTAGAGGTGTATTTAGGTGCTCAGCCACAGCAGAGAAAACTATCACAGCTCCTCGACACAAGTCTCTGATGCGGTTCAAATCTGCTCTCATGTATTGTATGAGGTGTACATCCAGGAAAAGGCCCAGTTCACTTCTATAAGAGTGAAGCACACAATTTCCAGTAGATCACAACTACCTAAGTCACAAGTCGGATGTGGCATAGTGGGAAAAACATGATGACAATGCAGGCCACCTGTGTCCACCCATATCAGTGTTTAGTCATCAATCCCTACATCATGGTGTGTACGCCTTGCTCTCCTGCCAACTTCTACAACTTCATGATCCAGGAATCACCCAGAATCCACATGTTGACAACCCTCGGTGGTCAAGATATCCGAGCTGTCAGTTCCAAATCACCACGCTGTGTGTTTCTGGAAACATCACATTAAGCAGCCCCGAGATCAGGAAGTAACCACTTCACCCTGCCCTAACTCCCTCCAGGGATTAATAAAATACAGATTTTCTCAAATAACCAATCCAAGGCTTTTTAACCACCGTCCCTCATGTCCTGCCCCCTCTACAGCTGCAAGTCTTCTCCTTGTCCCTGTCCCCCTCCTCCCCATCCTCCCCCACCCTCCACAGAGTTCTCTGGCTCCTTCCCACTTGATATAACAGAAATTGTGGTTAGACTGGCTGCTGACTCTTCTGTTATGCTCACAGGAAGCCTCCCCAAATAATAAAAACACACAATATTATAACAGACAACTTGTAGCAAGCAACATGAACTATTAAATCTTCATTGCATGGGTGTACAAAGGTTTGGACTAGAAGCATCAGTGGTGGGGTATTCCCTCAAACTACCCAAGCACACACAAAGTGGCTGCATAAAAACCCTCTCCCTTTTGTGTTGGCATGTGTGCACTGTAATCCTTTGAACTGCACATTTACACAAGCACAAAAGTGAGTATGTTCTTAAATACTGTTCACATTTGGGTTCCCCAAATTGTTAGTGGGTGTCATGTACTACCTTAGGTAAAACTTCACTTGCTCCAGCCCCAAACCCCTCTTCTCCTCTGCCACTAATGTCCTTCCCTTCCCGGGAAATAGTATTTTCCCCCAAATACTTTGACTACATTCCCCCCAAAATAAAGTTGCCACCCACGACTCACAAATTGTAGCAATCTCCAGCTATTCAGTCCAAAACTTGTTTTGGCTTAGGTGGGGACTTGGGATTAAGGTATCCATAGTTATGTTAACTGAAGGGTGAGTTCACTGCCATCAATCTCAACAAGGTCCTTAGTACCTCTCGGCAGCAGAAGAAAACTGAAGAAGGAAGCAGAAGGTTCTTGGCAGCAGAAGGAAACTCTATTTGGAGGGCTGTAACCCGGGAACCCCTTGGACAAATGACCCTAAATTTAGGTCACTCGTGCTATCACACACCCCCATGAGGCATACAGAATTTCAAAGCAATCCAAATAACCGTTCAAATGTTAGAGTGTTTACGAAAGCTTATGCTCAGATAAATTTGTTAGTCTCTAAGGTGTCAGAAGTACTCCTGTTCTTTAAGCTGTAAAACATATACATTGGTGGGAACGGAAACCCTCTAGATGTTTTTCTGTATTGGCTCATTGCATTGTAAACTCTGTACTTTTTCTTAAATACCAGTCTCAATTTAGATCCCCCAAAGATTTAAGGGGTGCCAGGCCCTACCTTGGGTAAAACTTGACAGCTAGAGGCCATTTTGACCCCCATCACATCAATTGTTTGATCTCTAGCTCTGCAGGGGATGGGAAGAAACCACAAAACCCACAGCTTTTTTCAAAAAGTTTGTAAGCAACCCTACTCTGCGCTGGCCTGAGGCACACCAGATTTCAAAGGAATCCTCTGACTACATTTGATATGTCAGTTTGAGAGGACTTACAGAGGTCAACCTTTAAACAGAAGCTGTGATGCAACCTGCCACTAGCTTTAGTCAGTGAGCAGCACAATCCTGCTTTCGGACAGCCAAAGGCACATTCCACCACATCCTGCATTGGCTCAGCATGTAGTTAAACAACCTCTTGCCTGGCTGGTGCATATCAGGATAAGCCATCATCAACAAAGGCAGCAGAAAGTATGCTGGGTCACAGATAGCGGCTTGATGACTGTGATAAGGGGGAAACATATACTGTTTGCCCATTGCCCATGCTGAAAAAGGCCAGATCTCTTGAACACTGTGGCATCATGCACCCTGCCTGTCAGTGTATCTGGAGTAGTATCCCCATTCCTTTCCTGTAAATGTATGTATTTGCTTGAAATGGCATATTGAAATGGGTACATACATGCCTTTGATTTCACTTGCCCAGCTGAGCTGTTCAAGCCCTGCCATTATTTCAGGGATTTTTCCAAGCCTTATAACCATGGAGGCCTGCACAGCATTAACTGCCTTGCAAAACCTCCATGACCACTTTGCTAGCTGTGGTTTTACCTACCTGAACTGATTACCAGCAGATCTGTAGCCATCTGGGGTTGCCAGCTTTCACAAGGTGATAGAAGCATGCTTCTGGAGCATTACTGACTCTCTTATCAGGGTGCTTTGCTACTCAAGGGCTGGAGCAAGCTCCTTACCCAGCTCCAGGAATCTGGCTCTCCTTGTGCAAAAATTCTGGATTTATTGCTGGTCATCCCATGTTTTCACTACAATGTGGTCCTGCCAGTGTATGCTTGCGGTCTTGATCCAGAAGTGAGGATATGCAGAGGAGGGAATCTGCTGAGAAAAACAGCATCAGTGTGTCCACACCTCCATCTTCACCTGGTCCCCTTCTGCTTGTAAGCCTCTGCCTTCACCTTCTTCAGATCAAGAGCAGCCTCTGAAACACCCATCAGTGTCTCTTGGCAACAGCTTCTGCAGATGCACAAAAAAGAAACCGTGCCTCTATAAAAGCATTAGTTATTAACAGGAGTATGATTCATACTTTAAGCATGTCACAGCATACCACCACACCAGCCTGGGGCCTGCCAAGAATTGAATTTCCCAGATCTAGATGATTTCCTCCCACAATGCCCTGAGTGAGTGGACGAGTTGCCCTACAGCACCTTGCGAATGCGAGCGCAGAGAGATGCAGTGAGATGTGGCACAATGAATCTTGGCTTACACACGCCTAGATAGCGGCTTGCTTATCATTGAGTTACAGCACCAGTGCGGATGCAGGGAGTGAGAGCAGTGTGCCGATAAGGACAGTGTGGTCATGCTGTAGTGTGATAAGCTAACCTGGAACTGCTTAACTCATGATTAGCCTGCACTGAAGATGTCGCCTTGGAGGGCCTTCCCACGGTCACACTGTCCAAAGGGGATGATTGCTCTGCTGCAACTGAGAAGGAAATGGAACGACTCCATTGTGCTTCCAGTTCCCCTTGCTTTCTAGTATGTGTTAAAGTCACATACAAAGAAACAAATTGAGGTTGGACCCTCTTTGCTTCATAAGCTAGATGACAGTCTGAGATTTTAAATTATACATGCACAAGCTCTGATTTTTAAATCAGAAACTGCAGTCTCATCTACTGTTTTTCCAGGTAAGCTCTAGGGATGGTTGGGAAACAAACAGGATTAGAGCCACACAGGCACCAAGGAGTGAAAACTGTGCAATTGAGAGGAAGCGTGCTTTTTACTCAGACTGCTTAGCCCTGCTTATTTTTGTTAATATCTATTTAAGTCAAACACCCTATGGGCAGGAAGAAAAGATCTCCTTGCTAATGATTCGACAGTCCTGTTCAATGAAGGGCTGAGAAAGCTCCTGATCCACTCCTCTGGATGCACAAGGGAGAGCTCCTGCAAAAATGAGGAAGAGAAGGTTGGATAAAAATATTCTAAAAAGTCCTTTCGGGTCTTCTTTATCCAGCATAAAGAAGCAAAATGGGGCACAAATCTATTATTCCCCTTTGCAGGATAGAATCTAAGCCTTAACTTTGAATTTCCTGCCTTGTCTCAAAACCTATGTGATTTATATAGGGTCCAAATCATCATCCATGTGTATTTATGTGGGCTAGATTTTTAGAGGCACCATAGGGTGTTAAGGCTTGTCTGCCATTCCTGCGTGGCAAGCCAGTGTGAATCTGCGATGTGTCAGCTTGCTTCACAGTAACATCCCATTTGGACACAGCCAGCGCTTAATTTGTGTCGGGGCTTGCCAAGGCTGAGCCCCGGCACATCTAGGCTTGGC